CATCAGAAAGATGATAGATGAAAACGCCAGAAATTGGCACGAATGTTTGAACAAGGCCTTATGGGCTTATAGAACATTACCTCGGTCAAGTACCAAAGTTACTCCTTTTCAACTTGTTTATGGGCAGGAGACCGTTTTGCCTATGGAAATCAACGTGCAATCGATTCGAGTGTGCTTGCAACATAAGTTGAATGATGATGAATATGTCGAATCACTAGTTCAAAATTTATTGAGTTTAGACGAATTGAAGTTGGACGTCTTAGATAGGTTGCAAGTTCAAAAGCAAAGAATGGCTAAGTTTTATAATAAAAAAGTCATAGCCAAATCGTTCAGCCTGGGTGAACTAGTTTGGAAGACGATACTCCCTTTGGATACCAAGGATCCAAAGTAAGGGAAGTGGTCGCCCTATTGGGAATGATCATACAAAATAAACAGTGTGTTGCCTAATGGAGCGTACCACTTGGAAGATTTAGACGGCACCAAGCACGTAAGATTCATTAACGGCAAATATTTGAAAAAATATGTTCCTTCTTTATGGGAATGTGAACAGATAAAAATATAACCAAACATTCTGGACGATCAAAAGATAATAAAGACAGAGCGAAATACGTTCGAATAAAGTTCTTTATTATCAAACGTTCATTACAAGAATACAAAAGATACAAATAATGGACGTGCTACAAAATACAACTAAAGTAAGATGATCTCCCGGTTGATCGCTGAGTAAGCTTCACATCGCCTTCCTAAATGCATCGCTGCAATGGTGGGATTGCCGAGTAAGAGAGTGTACTGGCCTCACCACCTTCCTAAATGCATCGCTGCAATGGCAAGCAAAGAGGCTGAGAAGCACTCTCAGCAAGCAAAGTGGCCCACAAACAGCCCAAAAATTGCCTTCCATCATTGACTCCTTGTGAAGAACAAAGAGACGATGGGAAGAATTTTGCAGGAAAGAACTTCGCTGCTGGCCAGAAAATATTTCCTATACCTCCCATACCAAAGGTGACATTAAGGTAAATATAAGGCGGACGGACTAAACAGTCCATTTTTGGATCAGGTTGATCGTCAGAATGCCAAGAAATGGCAGCAAATTGGTTTCGAAGAAGAAAATGAAGAGATGAAGATAGAGGATGAAAAATGCGAAGCATTTATAGGGGGTGAAGATGAAGAGACAGAATATGAACAGCCACATTTCTGTCTAATAAACAGAATTAAATAGCCCAAAATCTTGGAAAAAGTGAAATGGACAAGATTCTTCGTGCAAAGCAGTTAAGTGCTTAAAGAATTGATGACTAAAAAATAAACGTCAAATAAATGCACAAGAAGTTAATGTTCATTAATGATGAACAAAGTTACAAAGGAAAAAATCGAATTACAAAAGAAAAAAGACATCGTATGTCTTAATTACAGTCTACCCCATATGGAACGAATTCGTTCCCTAAGTTTTTCCCAATCCTTGTTCTGTCGAGAGGAAGTGATGTTCAATTCAGCCGCGACGTCATCATCATCAACTTCCAACTTCTTGTACTGCTCGACCAAGGACTTAGTTCGCTCAATTCCCTGAGAGGCGTTGCGCTTTTTAGCAGCCATCCTCGCCCTGCAGTCGTCCATTTTGGCTTGAAGTTCCATCATTTGAGCAGCCAAGTTAACCATCAAAGAGTTTTCAATCATGACTTCGGAAGAGATTTCTTTCAACTCGTCCTTAGCCTTGTTAATCTTCATACGCAAAGACTCTTTCTCAGCTATGGCTCGAAGATATTGAGTACGCTTGGCCTTTAGTTCAGCATTCTTGGCCAGCATAGAAAGGACCTCGGAGTGGATGACCTTCAACGTCGCTTTAAAGTCGACAGAAAGATTGAGCGACGGAAGCGTCAGTGCTTGCTCCAACTTCGCACTCAAGTGCTCAAGTTCATCCTTGTGTCTGGCAGCACTAGCCCTTCCAATATCCATATCCGTGAAGGATACGTACTCAAATACCGCCTCCTTCAGGAACGTCAAATCTTCTTCTGAAGAAGCAGCAGGACAATCAGATGGAGCAGGGCGAGGCATCTGGACTTGCCCCCAGGAAGCGAATAAGTCCTGGATAGAACGCACAATCCTGTCAGTATCCTGCAAAGAAGATTGCCAATATTAAAAATCCTCACTACAACGAACAAGGTGGAAGTAGAAATGAAGCAAAGACTACCTCGTCGACAATCGTAGAAGATGGCGGGCCCTCAGCCAAGCTTGCCACCAACAACTCATCCATTCGTGAGGACTTCCCCTTGTCCGAGCGAGAAAATGTTGCCACAACGGGCGGACTCATAGGAGTATCTGCAAATCTCAAGAGCAACAAATCAGAAACCAATAGCACGAGTAAAGGTAAGACATCAAAAAACTGAATTACCTTCTGCTTCGATGTTTGGGGGGTTGACGCCCTGGGAAGAAGGTGGCTCATCCATGGGTTGTGATGAGGATTCTGGGACTGAAGAGGTCTCTTTAAGCGTAGCCCCCTCATCAACCGATTTGGATGAAGTAGCCTCAGCAGAAGATGATGGAGCAGGAGTTGTTGATGTCAAAGCCTTTAAAGGAGAGGCTGAATTTTTCTGAGAAATCCAAAAGATCATCAGCACACAGAAAAGTTTCAAGTGTGGAAAAGTATACTTGTAAGTAAACCAATTTAATTACCTTCCTCCTGACAATAGGAGGGGCATCATCATCATCATCGACATCATCCTCCAGAATGGGAGATGCTGAGGCTGGCCGTTTGCGGTTTGGAGCACTCTTGGCCATAGTAGGCTTGGCAGGGAGGGAAGAAGATGGACGAGCAGATTGTTTAGTGCGACGAGAAGGAGAGGGGCTCCGAATAGACAAATGAGTGACCAAAACAGGAGGAGGAGAAGAAATACTCGGTTGGTCTAATGAATGAAAGGCACGATTGGCCTCAGTCGCAAATAATCTGCACTTCACTGATGGCCAGAGTTGTTCAAAAAGAGGGTGAATGGCGTGGCTAGAATTGAAAGGGGCCAATGAAAAATAACTGGTTAAAAGGAGATTACGAGCATCTATAGCCTCTGCCTCCGCTTTAGTAATGGTATGAAAATGGTCAACTAAATTCTTTGAATAGCAAGGAGGAACAGGCCAAGTTTGGCCAAAACCAAGCTGGCGAGCAAAAAATTGGGGAGCATAAATCTCTACCCCTGCCTTGGCATTAGTCCCAATTAGAATATCATGAAATAGCTCCCTCCCGATTAAAAACTGAATCCAAATGAGCAGGGAGGTGCTCGCGTTATTTTGAAAAAAATGAGAATCAAGCAGGGACCATGTAAGGTGCTCGTGAGTTCCACCCCTTTCTCAATGCAACAAGGGGTCCATATATCTACACTGGACTGCAAAATGGGCTCATGTTTGAGGCCCAGTTTCATCGAAGTCGCCCGAATCTTCCACGAGGCTTTTTAGTTCTCAAAAGATTCGCCCAGTTTCATCGAAGTCGCTCGAATCTTCCAATTGTCCTTTATAGCATTCCTCATACCATTTTCACCTGGCTGATCTGCATTTCTAGGGTTATTGTCTCTCACTAAATTACATTATGAGGTACGATTTTATCTGGTTCTATTTATTGTTCTGAATCTTTTGCATTAGTGTTCTATTATCCAAATAAATACCTGTTTTGTTAATATAAGTAAATTTTTAGTTTGATGCTAATACAGTAGCATATACAAGTTCTTAGTTTTAATTTGGGGGCACTGGGTGTTTTGGATTTGTTCACCTGTGTCTTTTACTTTTTGTTTGCTGCTGGATAATAAACTAGAGGTTTAAAGGAAATACTATTCTCGTTCTAAAACACATTGAAATGTTTTTATTGAGGGGTCCCTTCTAATAATCATGGTGAAATAAGAACAGACTATTCAATTTTTAGTTCAGAAGAACCTTTTTAGACATTAAGTCCTTTATAACCTTATGAAAGACATTCTTCATTTCTATATCAGCCCACCTTCACCATTATCCATCCGTAGTAAAGATGAAATTGCTGCTAGTTCTGTAAATCTACATTTCTTGATTAGTATTTTTCTTTTACTTCCCAAATCACTAACTGTGATTATGCTTTTGATTTTACAATGCCTAGTAATTTTTGAATCGATGTAGAATTGATTCTCCTTTTATGTGCTTAATTAGTTTCTCGGTCATTCAGTGACCCCTGTGTATTTTACAAGTCACCATATTTTGATTTAAATCTTCTAATGGTGCTTAAAGAAAGTGCCTGTTTGAGTTCACGCATGAGAGGGAGCCTTCTTTGTAAACAGGGGATGCCTGTTAGGTTGTTAGACTAAGTGGAGGTGCACCTTTAAGTTTACTAGTGTTGAGGAGGTAGTTGGTGATGAGAAGAATGAGGAGCGTGGTGGACATGACAAGGGTAATGGATTGAAAACTGAGTCCAATCTGTCATTATTCTACAGCGCTTGTTCATTATTAGTTTCTCTGCCCAAAAGAAGCTCATCCTGTTTGGTGCTCATGTTCCATTAATTAGTTCTTTCGTGCTTCTATACATTATCATTTCCCATGTAAAATTTTGTTTCTACATTTATACAAATATGGCTGAAGGTGCCAAAACGGGCCCACCCTGTCTGTACACAGAACTGCATAGGAGGAATCAACCTTATTAAGAGGAATAGCATAGATTCTTATTTATAAATTTTTGTTTTCATATCCAAGTTACGTGGGATTTTATCCTAACCTAAGAAATTATGTTGTCTAATGGTTACTGGTTTGTCCTTGAACTGGGGTGGTGGCAAGGGGATCTGACCGGGTCATGGCCATCCTAAGAGCAGTCTGGTTTTGGCCGAGTTACTCTAGAATTTTTTAAAATTGAATTGCTAGAAAAATGAACAATTACCCGTTAGGTTTGTATCCAGGTATAACCAACGCCAATCGTAATTAATTTCTGCGCTGAACGTGGCCAGAGTTCTTCCTTGAAACAAGGCATCAATTAAATTCTGACTTGCTTCCGTGGCAGAAATTGATTTCGCTCCCTTTCAGAATTCAAGTCAATATTTTCTCTCTTTCTTCTTTCTATTTTATTTTTATTCAAATAGTTGCTATACCCAGCAGATTGAACCTTCCTGCCTGCATTGGTGGGCCAGCCCATGAACTGGCAGATTGAACCAGCCCAATATGTGTAGGAGCCGGATACCAATCCAGGCTTTTACTTGGGGTCTAGTGTGTTTGAGATGGCTTGACACCTCTACCTGTGATGTGTCAAGCAATTTGCTGCAACTCTTATTTTTTATTTCCTGTGCAGACTTCTGAAAATAGGTTCATGCGTCGTGTGAATCAGTACCAGTCTGGCTAACAATATTAGCGTGTCATAGATTGAAAATGTACGTCTTTTTCGCTATTTAGAGTTAAAAGCCTGAACAGTCCTCTTATGATATACTTGGTCCCAATTTCTAGCTAATAAGATCTTTGGTCGTGCTATGATGTAAAGTTCGGAAGGATAATTGAAATGTGGGAGAAGATTAAATAACACTATGACTACAAGCATACCCTGACACATGGTCTTTCTTTCCAAAATAACTTCAAATATTTATGCGATGTAAAGGCGAATCGTGTTGCATGAATATTTTTCTCAATGTAGGTTTTGAGCCTTCTGCTATCTTATTTATTCATCTGATGTCAATATTCCTAAAGGAGTTATTAGCTAAAATGATTACTTTCCTGCAGTCGACATCCTGAGGTGAAGTGGGCGGAAAGGGAGGATTTGGTATATCTTACGGTGCTACTGCCTGATGCTAAAAATCCCAAGGTCAATCTTGATCCAGAGGGAGTTTTTACATTCTCTGCTACAGCTGGAATGGACAACATTTTGTATGAACTGAAGCTAAATCTTCATGATAAAGTTAATGTAGAGGTGAGAGGTTCTTATCATGTCTTGTGTGTTCTGAGTTCACAACTGTGGTAGGAATGTACGAGCACATAGCCAGCCTAAACTATTTTTCAATTTGAAGTTTGATCCTTTTGTTATATGGTCATATATCATGTGAAAGAACTACAGAAATTTTATTATTGTTGTTATTTTTATGTTTAGTTAATTAACTGGGTGTCTTTTATCTTGAATCGTGTGGCAAAATACTTTCCTTCTAGTCACAACAGGGATTTTCTCATTTTTTCCCGACTTTCTGTGCGACAGGAGAGCAAAATAAACATAGGTGTGAGAAATATATTTTGCGTCTTGGAGAAAGCAGAGAAGAAATGGTGGACGAAATTATTGCGGGGAGATGAGAAGGTACCTCACTATGTGAAAGTGGACTGGGATAAATGGGTGGATGCAGATGATGAAGCTGGTATGTTCCAATTTTCTCTGTCTATAGAATTTTGAAACACATTTCATTGATTATTTTGTAACCATTCTCACGGTGATCAGGTCCTGCTGATTTTGATATGGGTGGAATGGATTTCTCGGTGAGGACCTGTTTTTCCACTGTCGAGATAAAGTAGGATCTTCCTTACGATCTCTTCTGATGCTTTTCTTCTTTTTGATGCATTCTACAGAAATTCGGTGACATGGGTGGCATAGGAGATGATGCTATGGGGGATGACCTCGAGGATAGTGATGATGAAGGTAATTGTATTTGGCTCAAGTCCTTATTTTATTTTTTTGGACTAATCTACTGTTTTTCTCATGGCATGCTTGGTAAGCTAATATTGTGTACCCTTTTACCGATCATGCTCTTATATTTTACCGAAGATGCTATGTTAAGACCGTGATTTTAAAGGGAAAGTATTTTCATTGAAGCCCTTTAAAATTAGTGACTGGTCGATCAATAAGTGGGATAAGACAGTTTATGGTGCTTGAACACAATTACCATTTGAAGCTACCTTTGGAATTCAGAAATATTTCCTTGCTTTCATTCTTCACTTTACCTTCACGTATGACATTTTTGTTACGTGTGATTTGCAGAGCTGGAAGTTGAAAAGCCCGAAGAGAAGACTGCTGACGAAACAGAAGGTGAATCTTCTGGCCTCAAAACAGAATCGACCCAGAGTGCTTAATTGTGTATTTCAACCGTGGTGCTTTAGATGGAAGTGGTATTTCTGGTGATTAACAGAGCATGTATTTGCTTGTGAAATGAATGGGTCATTTTACTTGGATTATGTACTGGAAGCTTTGTTTTTTCGTGTCGAGATTGAATACTATTGAGACTCATCTCTGTGGTTCTTGTGATAAGTTTATTGGGATTTGAAACGCCGGTTTCTTGTTCTCCAAGACATGAGCTGATTGTTCGTTAGGGAACAGTTTATAGCTCATCAAATTCCTGCCCAACTCGAACTGCAATGGGATAGACAGAGGTCTGGGATAACGAAGTTAGACAAATGGAACAAAGTGCCACCACAGACATACGAAGTGAATGACTCAGTGAGTAGTAACACTTCACAGGTTCTATTAAATGAACTATGTGATATTGCATTTAAGTGAACGTATTGTTTAATGTCATGTAAGACTGTTACATGACATTGATAGTACAGTTAGTACTCCTGTCCTCGTGATTTTTAAGTATCAAAATCAGACCACATTATTCTCACATTTTGGAATTATTATTCATCATGTATGAGATGTCCATTTGAGGCCAAATTTAGTTATAGAGTAATAACAATCACATATAATTAATAATAAAGAGTAGCAATATTGTGTCATTTAATATTGCAAAATCCATTCCGGGTCTAGTGAAGACCAAGAAATTTCGCAAATGGTAATGGTCAAATGTTAGTGAAACCTAAGTTCTTCTACCAATCTCAGCATTAACTTCTTTGTACTAAGCACTATCCAATCGATACTGAAAATGCCAAAAATGCACCTATATCGCTTCATCGCGCGATTAGGATATAGTGGCCTCTGTGGCAGATCGCCCCTCTACCCCTCGTATCCTCGGCCTCGCCCTCCACCTGGCAGAAGATGTCAAATGTTGAATTGAGCTAATTTAGTTTATTCTTGTCATGCAGCACATATCCACAAATAAAAGGACATATAACCAATTAATTCATGGATATCCACATATGAAAGGGGTCATAAAAACAATTGCATCCCATGTATCAAGTCCTATTATTAACTTGGATAACAATTTACTATTTTTATTATGTAAACAGCTTCAACTCCATGGTAAAGGAACTAGATATATGATGGGTTATACACAAATCAAGTACAGTTACAAGCTTGAGAAATTGAGAAAAAGGATTTACCTCTGCTTCCACCAGCCTTTCCTCCAGTTCCACCTCTGCCCCGACCGCCCATGCCTCTAGCAGCAGCGTCCTCCATTCCACGGCCAATACCTTTTGGTTTTGGGCCATCCTCTCTACCTCTGCCTCTTCCACGCCCTACTCCGGGTGGCCTCCTATCTGAGTATATCCAAAGATAGCAATTGACTTCAGAAGAAGATAATAAAAATAAAGCCCGTGTTTGACAACTATTATAATGAGAATTTTGGGTAAAATGTATTTTGGAATAATGATTTTTGTAAGAATATGTCGTTAAAAAAAAAAGTTTTTTATTTATTTATTATTATTATTATTATTTTTTTTATGTGTAATATTATTTTATTGAAGAATGCGTGATTTAAAAGAAGAGAGAAAAATCTATTAAAACATTAAAGGGAGACAAACAAGGGCAAAGTACTAGATCACAGAGCTGAAATTAAAAGCGAATATATCAAAGACATGACACAAGTAGGGTAAGCATAGTACATATTCAGCACAATGAAATAGTTTTATAACTTTTGCTTTTCAATTAATTTAATTATTTAGTAAAACACATCAACTTTATGTTAATATATGATCAAAAAATATAAATTTTAGAGTTGGTAAAAAAAAAAAAAGGAATCATTGTAAGATTGAGATATAGCACCTGAGAGATGGATTTTCAACTAGGGTTCTTGGAGAAGCTTGAGATGTGAGAGAGAGAGAGAGAGAGAGAGAGTGAGTGAGTGATTGATTGAGAGATAAGAATTTGTATTTGGATATGATTTGTGTAATTTTATTAATTATTTTCATTCGAGTTTTTTGAGTGTTTTTAAAACGTCAAAAAATCATTTTGAGTTTTATGTTATAAAATTTTCCTTGTTTTCAAAAATGTATTTTTGAAAATAACATACCAAACACATTTTGTGTTTTAAAAAATTGAAATGGTCTCAAACAACAAACCAAATGAACTCTAAATGACTGCAATTCCTAGAAAAAAGTTAATGAACAAGTTATGGAAAAACTTCTTGGAGAGGGACTAATTCGTAATTCACATATTGTATCTAGGACCTTTCTTTTGATAAAACAAACAAGAGCTTTAGCACTCAATAAGTAAAGTCTGCAGATAAACATTCAGATTTTAAATGGAAAAACCGAGCAAAACAAAGGCAGATCATACCAGAACGACTCTTCGTCTCTTCTTGAACTTTATCAATTACCTAGAAATCAGGAAAATAATAAATTCAATAAGTCAATGTTGCTCAATCATCTAGACAAAAGATAAAAAAAAAATAATAATTCAAGCGAGTTTAGTTAATTTATTACAATATCAGATCTCAGAATAAGGTGACAGAATAATAAAAAAGACCACCGTAAAACTATGAAAGAGACGCTAAAGCATGCCATCATCAAGCATTTTCAAAAGTTCAATGGGTTTCCAAAACTTTGTAGGAAAATTATGCATTCCAATTAAAATTTTCAGCACAAAAACCTGAGAAATTATTCATTAATTCAAGCATTGACAACGTCAGTAAATCAGTGCGTTACAACTATACTTCAACAAAACAAAGTTGATAAAGCCAATTTCTTTCTGACTTCTGGAGCAATAAATACTAGCAAAGCTTAGTCTGTGAATGTATCTCATTATTAAGCAAGCATCTCAACCAAAAAGCTCTATGACCTTTCTATATCGAACACCACGAGATGTTCAAGATGATGAAATAATCCCAGTATCACTAGTGTGAAATCAAGTTGTTAATGAAGATACTAACATATTTACTACTCACTAAATAAAGTCCACTGCTCCCCCCCTCCCCCCGGCACCCCCAACCAAAAAATAAAAAAAGGGCAAAAAAAAATGAGGCAGAAAGAAATAATTCTTGCGAGAAGAGTCAATTCCCAGTGGCAACAGTACGGATTGTTTAAATAAATGCAGCCTGCTTTCAAAATGTGAAGACACCTAAATTTATATCTGCATGATTTCAGGTGGAACAACATTTCTGTGTACCAGCAACAAATCCAATTATGTTTGAGATGTCGTGTTTGGATAGAGTTAACAAGGTAAGATAATCAACTGCTGCCACTTACCAGGGGTTCCCATTTAAAGCAACAACACTTGAACAAAGCTACCTATGAACTGAGGCTATGACCATAAATTGACAGAAAGTATAATGGAGAGTTCACCAAAGAACTCAAACTACAGCAATTTATTGACAATGTATATACATTCATCTTTATACAAAAATACATTGCATAAAATAATTTAAAGTATAAACCTCACACAAAGTCACTCTTCAAATCATGGTATATTGAGTATTACTGGGGGCAAAAGGAGAAGTAAAGGACACAAGCTCATTTGACAAAATCCTAAATCTAATTTTCAAGAGTGGAAAATAAGCTAACAAATTTAAGTAAATTACTTGCCAAAAACCAGATGGGACAAGTATAACATAAAGCATAACGTGCAGATGAAAAGATGTTCTACAGCATACCTCGTCTGGAACTCGAAGATACTTAATCGTATTTCCCCTGATGTAGCACTCTGGCATCCGCCAAAACCTATCTCCATCCTATATTATAAAACAATAAAGAAGTATAATAAATTCAATCAACAGAAAAGAAGAAGGGGAAAAACAATATCAAGGCATCAAAATATTATATTCAAGTGAAAAGATAAAGAACCTTGGAGGTACATATGACTTCACGGAGATGAATGTTCATCCAAGTATCACAATTAACCAAATGCCCATTGTATGTTTCCCCATTTTTCAGTTCCACCAACTGTCAAAAATGACACGAACCACCACAAGCATCAATTTTAACTAAAGTTCATAAAGCATAACGTGCAGATGAAAAGATGTTCTACAGCATACCTCGTCTGGAACTCGAAGATACTTAATCGTATTTCCCCTGATGTAGCACTCTGGCATCCGCCAAAACCTATCTCCATCCTATATTATAAAACAATAAAGAAGTATAATAAATTCAATCAACAGAAAAGAAGAAGGGGAAAAACAATATCAAGGCATCAAAATATTATATTCAAGTGAAAAGATAAAGAACCTTGGAGGTACATATGACTTCACGGAGATGAATGTTCATCCAAGTATCACAATTAACCAAATGCCCATTGTATGTTTCCCCATTTTTCAGTTCCACCAACTGTCAAAAAGGACACGAACCACCACAAGCATCAATTTTAACTAAAGTTATTTATTTTTCATAATTACTGTTCAAGAAAATCTGAATATAGCAATCAATTTCCCAATCTTCTAAATTCGAAAGGTTTAGTATAATTCATACCATAGGGTGGCCCTGGGCTGTCTTGAGCAGAGAAAGTGGAAGCTGCAATGCAAAACCCAAAACCAAACCAAGCAAATAATACGAACAATTGCTTAACAGATTCAAATTACACAGCCAAAACAAACCTATAACACCGAATATTCAGAAAGTACCGACTTACCATTTTTAAATTCTAGTGCGCAGAAGAAACCTGCATTCAGAAAAAATAAAAATAAAAAATAAATCATATTAACAGTGCAAAATTAGGGTGAAAACGTAGATTATTTTATTAAACCCTAAAAGCGAAAAGAAATTACGAGATACCGATTCAGAGAGAGCTATGAATGGAGAACGAAACTGGTTTTGATCTCTGCTCACAGCGCCGATAGGTAAGTCTCTCCCACCCAATAATGAACTGGAAGGCGTTATTTTGAATTTTAAGAAAATTGCAGTGGAGGACCCAACTTATATCTAGGTTGAACCTATTATTTCTCGAATTATTTCATTTGTACAAAATGAGGTTATTGAAAGGTGTCATCCCTCTCACAATGCATACGGGCTCCACGTGAATTTAAAAATGTCAAACATGTGGTCCCCACCCTTGTTGTGAGTAGTAAGAAAAGATTCGGTAAAAAAAATTTGGTACGTGTAGCTTGAT